GGCGGGTTCGAATCCCGCCGAATGCCGCGAGTTTTTTCACAATTAGGTCAACTGTCTGCCAAACCAACTTAATAACCAACTTACTAATGAAAATTGTCAAAATTGTTGGTCACATTTTTAAGGAATTTTGTTATTATATTGGATTTCGTTCCGTGCGTTGTCCAATAAACTAGAAGTACCGCATTTTCCGAAAGAGAAAACTAACCAGTGCCAGCCCGTGCAGAGGGGTTTAATCTAAAAGCGGCAGAACTACAGTACCCTATTTGCCAAATGTCTTGATTTTACTCGCATCGATATTTAAAACGGGTGCAGTTAACCTATGGTTTCAAAACTAGCCCAGTTGAAAAAACGCTGATCAAAATGTTGCAGGTGCAAAAATTTAGTGAAGTTAGCATCACAGAAAAGTAATGGAGAACCTTTTAAGGAGCATCTGTCCGATGGACTGTATTTTTAGATATGATATTGCATACCTTCAGAATCGCAATCAAATCTAAGATAAAACATAAGTCGTTGCGTTTAATTTAAAGTTGAAAAAACATTAAACTTTGGTAGATTTAATAACACTCGCCACTGCCTCTGGACTTTAGGGCTTTTTGAAATATTCCCACGCACGCGGGTGGTCATAACTGTAATTAATTAAAGAAGCTTGTTTGTGATGTATAAATCTGTAGGCTCTATAATAACTCTCCTCCCCTGCCTTTCCTATTTTCCCGACACCCAAACCCCCATAACCACCATTACCATAGGACAAAATGCTGGGACTAGGGATATATGATGTACACCACTTAAACTACCTTTGCCTCTGAGTCTTGTTTCTGGAGTAAAGACAGGGTGCGCTAAATGTAAACAGTTAAAGAAAGAAAAACGCTGGAGTTACTTTCTGCAAGTGATGTCACAATTCTACGTGACGTGGTTTGATACGAAACTATTCAGCCACAAACCACAACAGCTCGGCTCGGGTCCAGCATGAACTGGGTTCTTCCGTGCCCGAAACCGTAAACATTCTTTCACAATAGACTACCATTATTGGGAGATTTGAAAAGACTTCCAACTACGATTATTTAAAAGATTTGGCAGATTTGCTTAATTTAGTTGACACAATAGTGAAAAACCTTGCGGCATTCAGCGGGATTTGAACCCGCATAGTAGAGAAGGCATTTACGCGAAGCTAATGCTTTACCAGTTGAGCTACAAATGCCATGCCTAGCACCATGAGTTTATTCACACATGGATCAATTTTTCCCGCCCGACTTTACCACTCGTATGGAATCCAGCAACACGGAACATCAAGCTGACTGCCCAAGCAGGATTTCCTAAGCAATCATCTCGAATTCACCAGAATGACTACTACGCTGAATTAATTATTTAGGAGGTTTGCCAGTTGACTCAATCGTTAAAAAAACTTGCGGCATTCGACGAGATTTGAACCCGCCTACTACGAGTTGAGTTAGGTCTGCGCTCCTCTATTCGCTGTCTTGCAGAATGTTTCGACGGTAATGCTCAGGCATTTACCGTTCGCGAACCCTAAAACATTATCTACAATTTTGACATTTATAAAGAGATTTGCCACGTCGTAAGCATAGTGTCTATAGGCAAGTGCTCGGTTGCCTAGGACAGCCATTCGCTCAAGCCAGCTCCGCGCCCTAGTAGACAGTCAATTTAAGCGCCTTGCTACACACCTACAGTGAAGATATGACGGCCATGGACATGACCAAAGAAAAAGCAGACCCGCCATCATTTTATCACATGGCGATTTAACTAACGGCAGCTAAGTGGAATTATCCACAAATGAGCTGAAAGACAATCAATAGGGCGGCATCTTTCATCTTGTTGGACTTCGGACAAAAGAGACACAGAGAGTGGTAAAAAATGTTACTCACAGAGGAGCATTTGTGTCTCCCACTAGAATTTCCGGCTAACTTCCCTGTGGTAGTCGGGCTTTCTGGGAGGGGAGGGAGAAAGCCCAGGAGTCAACCGCTGTTACCTGGCTCGGTTCAATTGAATTCCCTGCTTTTTATTCCACAATGCATTTCATCTAGACGGGGCATATATATATATAAATATATATATATATATATAT